TAGATAGATATATGATAGATAGATAGATGTATATAAGATAGATAGATATAGATGATAATATAGAAGATAGATAGATAGATAGATACTCGATAGATAGATAGATAGATAGATTATAGATAGATAGATAGATAGATGATAGATAGATAGATAGATAGTAGATAGATAGATAGATAGATAGATAGATAGATGAAGTAGATAGATAATGGTAGATAGAGATAGATAGATATAGATAGATAGATAGATAGGATAGAGATAGATAGATAGATAGATAGGATCGAGATCGTAGCTAGATAGATAGATAGATAGAATCGATAGATCTTTAGCTAGATCGATCGTACTAGTAGATGCTCGCTCGCTCGCTCGCTCGCTCGCTCGCTCGCTCGCTCGCTCGCTCGCTCGCTCGCTCGCGCTCGCTCGCTCGCTCTCTCGCTCGCTCGCTCGCTCGCTCGCTCGCTCGCTCGCTCGCTCGCTCGCTCGCTGGCTCGCTCGCTGGCTCTCTCTCTCGCTCGCTCGCTCGCTCGCTCGCTCGCTCGCTCGCTCGCTCGCTCGCTCGCTCGCTCGCTCGCTCGCTCGCTCGGTCGCTCGCTCGCTCGCTCGCGCTCGCTCGCTCGCTCGCTCGCTCGCTCGCTCGCTGCTGCTCGCTCGCTCCTCGCTCGCTCGCTCGCTCGCTCGCTCGCTCGCTCGCTCGCTCGCTCGCTCGCTCGCTCGCTCGCTCGCTCGCTCGCTCGCTCGCTCGCTCCTCGCTCGCTCGCTCGCTGCTCGCTCGCTGGCTCGCTCGCTCGCTCGCTCGCTCGCTCGCTCGCTCGCTCGCTCGCTCGCTCGCTCGCTCGCTCGCTCGCTCGCTCGCTCGCTCGCTCGCTCGCTCGCTCGCTGCTCGCTCGCTCGCTCGCTCGCTCGCTCGCTCGCTCGCTCGCTCGCTCGCTCGCTCGCTCGCTCGCTCGCTCGCTCGCTCGCTGCTCGCTCTCGGCTCTCGCTCGCTCGCTCGCTCGCTCGCTCGCTCGCTGCTCGCTCGCTCGCTCGCTAGCTCGCTCGCTCGCTCCTCGCTCGCTCTCTCGCTCGCTCGCTCGCTCGCTCGTCTCGCTCGCTCGCTCGCTCGCTCGCTCCCTCGCTCGCTCGCTCGGTCGCTCGCTCGGTCGCTCGCTCGCTCGCTCGCTCGCTCTATTGATTGATTGCTAGCTAGAATACCGGCTACTCCCCTTATAACTGATAATCATGTCAGCTTTTCGTTAAATCGAAAAATTCGTTGTATCGGAATTATATTTCTTAGTAAATGTATGTTTATATTTAATGAACAAAAAACAATTTAATTCAATATATAAAATTATCTTTTTAAATTTTATTCCAAACAACTAATAAGAACGCAAAAGTTTTTTTCAATTTTGAACATCTGTCTGTTTGAATAAATAGTTGAAAAATAGTTCCCACCTCTTTCCTTCATTTCATTTAATTTATTAGATCCAAAATTAATCAAAAAGATAAAATTAAAATTTTTTAAGAAAAAAACTGAATTTGAGAATAGATAATTTTGTCTTATGCCATGATGGGATATCATCGTCCTCTTCGAAATAATTTGTTTAGCTGCAAAATTTTATTAATTGCACGTGTCCGATTTAAACTTTATTGATGCAAAACTTATCGTTAACTTCGCATCTTGCAGATTCAGATTGTAAAAAAAGTGAATGCTTTTTATCGATAGGTGAGACATGCTAACTAACAATGTGCGTTATATCGGATTTTCGTTAAAATGAGATTCATTATACCGGGATTTGCCTGTATACTCTAACTTATAATACTCGTACTTTTCATTTTTCTTCATTTACAACAACGGAATTTTATAACAGTTTTCTGCAATAAATTTATTAGAAAATGAAATCAAAACCCATTAAAATTTTCTCAAGAAATTAAACAACACTCAATGTGTACATATGTAATAAAAGTAATGAACATAAAACAAGTGTAAATGAAAAAAAAAAACTTTTACTTTTAGTTCTTATTTTGTTTTATATTTTTTCGGTGCTTTAATTTTTAAGAACGAGACACCTTTAAGACTATATTCATTCGGCTTCACTCTATATAGCAGCTCAAAATATAAAACATTATTAGTAGAGCATGTAAATGTAAAAATTTTTTTTAAAGAAATAAAGAAATTTTGTAGATTTTGTTAAATTAAATAAATATTTGGGTAACTGCTTAACTCAGAAGAATACTAGTTAAAAAGTGTAAATAATTTAATTAGTAGTGTGTATAACTAAAAAGTGATATATATTTATAAAGTAATTATTTTTGTTTTCATTAGGGATGTAACTAAAATTAGGCGCAAATGCTAGTTTGATGCTTATTGGAGTGATAACACATTGAGAGGTTAAGAACTATACCGGTATAAAATTTTCCAAAGATATGCAATATTTTAACGGAATATTTATGTATGTCGGCCCTATATGAATTAAAGCACTCGATATATATCGTTTAAATTCTTCGTGGGCTATATTAAGTACCTTTAAAACTCTCAATATAAAACATGTAGCCCTAATGTACATATTTTTCTTATCTGATATGTACATTAATTTTTATACACAGTTGAGTGTAAAAAGAGCGTGTAAAATTTAAATAATTTTTCAGTTTTAACTTAATTGGGAAAGTTTTTCTTCGTAAATTTGATTAAAAAGTACAAAAGCACTGACATTAATATTTAAATGTTAACAAAATCTTAAACCAGAGTTAAACAAGAAAATAATTAGAATTAAGTAAAAATACATATGTAATTTCATATTTATATGATATGAACAAATTTTCCAAACTTATATATATTGAACAAATTTACAAGTTTGTTCCAGTTTTTAGGAATTTTCCAAATTTTTCCTTTTATAGGAAAATATTAATAAATATCTTATTTTAGGAAATATTCGACCTTTTTTTTGTATTTTTCGGAATTTGACAACCAATTTTTATTTTTATAAAACTTTGATTAATATTTTTATTTTTAGAAAATTTTATTTTTCATTTTTAGAAAATTAAATTTTTCAGTTTTAGACAACTTTCTCTTTTTTTAGAAAAATGTTGATACCTTTTCTATTTATAGAACATTTTTAATAAATTACCCATTTTTAGAAATTTTTTGGTAAATTATTAATAAATTCCCCATTTTGAGAAAATTTTCTATATTTTTTAAAATTTTAGAAAATTTTCAATAAATTTAATATATTTATAAAATTTTCAATATATTTCCTATTTTTAGAAAATTTTCTATAAATTTCTTATTTTTAAATTTTCTATTCCTTCCTTCCAATTTTAGAAAATTTTCAATATATTTCCTATTATTATTTATTAATAATAATAATTAATTATAATAATTATTAATTATTAATAAATTCCACATTTTTATAAAATTTTTGAATTTTTTTTTAAACTTAAGAAAATTTTCAATAAATTTTATATTTTTAGGAAATTTTTAGATAAATTTTATAGTTTTATAAAATTTTCAATATATTTCCTATTTTGAGAAAATTTTCGATAAATTTCTTATTTTTAGGAAATTTTCGATAAATTTTCTATTCCTTCCTTCCAATTTTGGAAATTTTTTAATATATTTCCTATTTTTAGAAAATTGTTGATAAATTTTTATTTTAGGAAATTTTTGATTAATTTTCTATTCCTTCCAATTTAAAAAAAAATTAATTTTCAATAAAGTTCCCACTTTTCGAAAAGTTTCGATTTTTAAGAATTTTTCAATAAATTTTCTATTTTTAGGAAATTTTCAATATATTTTCTATTTTTAGAAAATTTTCGATAAAATTTCTATTTCCTACGAAACTTTAGAAAATTTTCAATAAATGTTCGACATTTCGAAAATTTTAGATTTTTTAAGAAATTTTCAATAAATATTCTATTTGTAGAAAATTTTCAATATATATCCTATTTTTAAAAATTTTTCGATAAATATCTTATTTTTCAATTAAATTTCTATTTCCTACGAAACTTTAAACAATTTTCAATAAATTTCCCAATTTTCCAAAATTTTCGATAAAAGGTCGGATTCTTAAGAAAATTTCAAAATTTTTGATTAAATTTCTATTTTAAGAAAATTTTCAACAATTTTTCTTTAGAGAATATTCGATAGATTTTCTATTTTAAGGAAATTTTCGATTTGTTATCGATTTTCTATTTTTTGGAAATTTTCAAAAAATTTCCTTCTTATTTTAGAAGAATTTCAATACGTTTCCCATTTTTAGAAAATTTTCAGGAAATTTTTTTTATTTTTAGTAAATTTTCAATGTATTTCCCTTCCATTTTAAAAAAAATTTAATAAATTTTATATTTTTAAGAAAAATTCAATAAATTTTCTATTTTTAGCAAATTTTCGATTGACTTTCTTTCTGTTCTATCGAAAAAATTTGCCATTTTTAGAAAAAGTTTAATTTTCTACATATTTTAATTTTTTTATTTCTCAATTTTTACAAAATATTTGATAATTTTTCTTTAATTTTCTGTTTTTTTTTTTATATAAATTCTTTTTATATTTTATAAATTAATAAATAAATAAATAAATTCTTGCGTAATATTTTATATTTTTAGGAAATTTTCGATAAATTTTGCTATTTTTTTAGAAAAATTTCCATAAAATGTTCTTTAATTTTTTTTTTTTTTGTTAAAATTTCCATATTTTTAAAAAATTTCATAAGTTTTTAATAAATTTCTCTTAGATTCTTCATGAGATGTTAATCAAGCTTGTTGCTTAAGTCTTTTGTTTTACTTCATAGTATCATTTAATGCAAAAGCCTAAAAGTTGGCTATAACATTTCTTACATTTCTTAAACTCTACTTGCCACACAAATTGTTTTAAATAGAAAACTAAAGCATACTTTTATGCTTTTTAAAAAGAAAACTAGTGTTGTAAAACATTTTTTTTGTACAACAAAACGAAAATGCAACACAATTTTTTAGAAACATAAATTTTCTTTACAGTTTTCTTTAATTTTCCTTATTTTCTTTTGTATTTCCAGAACAACCAATGATTACGCGCCACCTCAATTAAATGCCAGCAACCTGCAAAATTTTAATCAACACAATAACAACAACACTAGTAATAATTGTAACAATAACAGCAGTAACAACAACAACAACAGCAATAATAATAAAAGTACGAAAATGCATTCCCATCAATTGGATACATATTCCGATTCAATGCACTCGGGCAGTATTTCTTCGGTGGAAAGGCCCAATGGAGGCGCATTAGCGCTGCATTATGCAGCAGCCAGAGGTTGTTTAGATTGCGTGCAACTATTGGTAGCAGCATCAGCAGATATTTGGTAAGTCTAACCTAAATATTTTGTCTTAAAAACTAATTTTTATATTTTGGCAAAAAAAAAAACAATTGTTTTAACAAGTAAACCATTAAATTAAGATTTATAGTTAGTTATGGATTTTATTCGTTTCTTTCAAAAAGTGAAATTTTCTTAACAACAATTTAAGTGTTTGATTTTTAATAAGGTTAAATATTAGCACAAAAACTAAAACGTTTTTGATTTGATTGATTTAAATGAATAGCTTATTAACTTTGTTTATATTGCAACAAGTTTCTTGTCTAGTTTAACTAATAATTTTTCATCATTATTTTTAATGTTTGCTACTTGCCAAAGAGTTTCTTTAGTTAGTTTCATTGTTATTATAACAAACAAAATTATGTTAACAAGTGTTCTACTTGCCACACATTAATTAAAATATTACAATCATTTTTCATTCAATAAACAACAAACACAACAAAAAAAAAAAAGAGATTGTTTAGTTTTTCTTAAGACATTTTGGGTGTTTCATGAAAAACTATTTAAACGTTTAGCTTGTCTTAAGCAACTCTTGTTTCTTAAGTCTTTTGTTTCTTTAGCTTTGCTTAATATCTAATTGAATTGTTTGTTTAATTATTTATAAATAAAGCTTTTATAATTTATAATAAATGGTTTAAAACAATTAGATATTGTTATTTTTCCATTTTACCATTAAATTTGTATTTAATGTAATAATGTTAAGTTAATTGGTGTTAATCAAATTTGTTTATTAGAGTTGTGATTTTTCTTTTTTTAAATAATAAGTAGTTATTGTTTTAAAGAGGTTATTTCTTTTATTTAAACGTTTAAAATTGATTGATTTCATTGACTTCAACATTGGTATAGGTTATACATACATATAGGTTATTTACTTACTATTAGAGTAAAAAAAATAGACTTCTAAAGGAAAAACTATAAAAATGTCAATTATATCACAAATATAATCGTTTTTATTGAGATATTAAAGATAATTATTAATCGCTTCCTTATATACCTGAATTAGGAGAGATCTCTTTTTAACTAATTGTTTAGCTTAGCTAACTCTTGTTTTTTATAAAAATGTTAGCAAATTAATTTTCTTTAAATTTTTTTCGCCGTTTTCATTTGTACATATAAAATATTTTGATAAAACGTTTTGATCATTATCAATTATGATCACTGGGTGGAAAAAGAAGACGATGCCAAAAGATAAAACAAGAAAAATTAAGAACAAGAATGTTCTTAAGAAATTCTTAGATATTTTTTAAGCGGATCGCACCGACATTGTATATGAAGAATTTAGTAGCCAAAGTTGCAAGCTTGAATAAAACATAACTAACAGTAATTGCACAGTGGATGGGTTTACAATATAATATCAAATTAAAATTAAAACTCTACTGAAGAATGGTTAATCTTAATTTAAATATATTTATTTATATCAAGGGTATCTGACCATAAGTCTGAAATACTTGCCAACGACAAAGATCTAAACGGAAACAGTAAAGTATTGCTCTAACCCAACCTTAATTATGCCAAAATTTGGGAGCAGCCAACGAGTTACAATACACTCGATGATGCACGACAGTTCTTCCCGATGATTTAATGGTCCATTACAAAAGAAGATGTTATGGCAAATTACACAGGAAAAAATTTAAGAAAGTCGAAAGCCAGAGGATTGAGTAGCGCTGAATCTCTCCATCATGTCAGGCTTTCCAGAGCTTCATGAAGTTTGGAAAAAAACTCCTAACTCCTAACTAACACAGCACAAAGATACGCTTATTTATAAAATCTCTTATGACATCTAAATGTCAAATCTGTCGACTTTAAAATTAAGGTTGACAACTTTTATATTTGGGTTCAGTGCTGCTCAGTTCTTCAGAAAGGTGTACTTTGGTCTCTGGATTAACAATTTTGTAGCCTTTATAGCTTTATTGGGTTGAAAGGAGGATGAATAATACGGATCCGAAGAAATACACCAGAAATACACAATACGCTATCGTTATGTTCTCCTTTGCATGGAAAATGTTGGTGGAACAAACCTTATATGTATCTCTCGCACGTTGAAAACAATAGAACACATTCTATGAAGGTATTCAGGTCAATTATGAACAATTATTCAAAGGGAGCTTGTTCCCTCTTGCGTGCTTTAGTTATAGAAGAGGGAACAAACTTTCAGAGAGTTTATTATTTAGAATTGGCCTAATTATCGTTCAGAAACGAAATATTCTAAACGTACCTCCTTAGAATTTTCCAATCAGTATTCCTGAGTGATGTAATATCTGGAGGCTTCCTCCTCACATTATGATCTCATAAGTAGATACTCAATAAGTTTCCTTAATTCATGACTCAAGTGCTGACGGCGAATGCAATTTATGCATCATCCGAGAAAGTTAACATATTATAAAAGATAAACCTCAAAATCTAAAGGGGTCCAAGATTAAGCAGAAAAAAAAAAGGAAATTTTCTCGCTGTGAAGTTGTTATACTCGTATCTGAGATAATTCTTCACCCTATGACATAAGATATCATGCATTCTTCTCCCATACGATAACACCTCAAGCAGTACTGCCGTTTTAGAGAATTCCATTTTTAACATAGGACATCATTATATCGCTAAGATGCAGAAAGTTTCGATAAGAAGGAATTAAACAGAAGATATAGCACTTTGTTCTTAAGGATTCCTTGTTTAACTTTAGTCGATTTTGAGCAGTTATTTACTACAAAGTTTAATATTGGATCATCATCTCTTTGTTCAAATCGGAAAGACTCTGATATAAAATTTTGAATTATGTGCCAACAAAGCGTTTTGATTTACTTCTTCAAAAAATTGCCACTCACGTAGATCGATTGCTTACCGAAGTTTATGGCAAATGTGTTCCATTGCTTGATGGTTTATGCGATTCAGAAGTGGTGATTTTCACACTGAAGATGAAGGTTGCCCAGGCCAACCAAAAATGTTTGAAGATTAAGATTTGTAGGCATTATTCCATGAAGATTGTAGTTAAACTCAACAAGAGCTTGCCAAACTATTGGCAGGATCGCAGATAGAATGTTTTGGTCAGTAAGAATCGGTTGTTACACGGATGGCTCTAAATTGGGGGACAAAGTGGGACTGGGGTTCTATATTGAAGACCCAGTAACTGAAATATACCACCGTTTACCAAATCATAACACAAGCTTCCAGGCAGAAGTACGAGCATTAACGGAATGCGTAAATTGGATTAGAATAAATATGGCGCCCACAGCGCTTAATATATTTACCGACAGCCAGTAGGCAATTAGGGCGATATCAGATGATAGAATTTAATCTAAGACTGTATTGGATTGTAAGAAAGCTTTAACTGAATACTCTCCCAGAAGTAAGGTTTACATCGTATGGGTACCAGCCCACTCGGGAGTAGTCGGCAACGAAAGGGCGAATGTAATAGCTTTAAAGGGAACGCAAAACCATTCGACGCAACAAAAGCTGAACTAAAAATATGGGTGAGAGAATCCCATAAGGCCTCTTGGAATAATGAAACAGTGGGTAGAACCATGAAGATCCTATGGGGTGACACTGATGAGAGCAAGACGAAAAATCTCCTCAAAATTAGCAAGTCTGAAATTAGTATGATGGTACGTATTCTGAGTGGACACACAGGATTACTAGCACATCTATGCAAAATTGGACTTGCGGATTCAGACTAATGTAGAGCACAGTGAAACTCTGGAGTACTTTCTTTGCCACTGCCAGGCATTCGTCGAAGTTAGATCCAAGATCTTAGAAGTGATGTTATTCCGGAAATAACATTCCTAACTAAGACTGATTGGAAGATTCTTAGGAATTACGTTCAGGAAACTGAGTTTCTGAACACTGAAAAATTATTCATTCAGTGAACTTTTTTTTCATGATAAGGAGCAGATTTGATGTAGTATACATCATCCTATCAACCTAACCTAATCTATTGGCAGTTACTGAACAATAACTTTGAATTGCATGCTAGCAATAGGACCCATATCAAATTAAGGAAATTTTGTCCGAAATGCTGATTTAACGCAAACTTGCGATGGAAAATGAATCTAGTACGATAATATAAAGCATGAGGAATCGTATGTGAATCCCGGCAGACCACCCGAATTGACTCAAAATCCATATTCCTTGGTTCTACAGTAATGCTCTGTACTACAGTATTTGGTAGTACCAAAAGGTTCCTATTTATTATGGGCAAATGATTCGTTTGAAAAGCGTATGTAGAATGAGGTGGTTGGAAAGTTTTCCCACCACCTTATAACCCAGACCATGCCCACCCCGACTACTATTTGTTTCGATCGATGCAGAATGCACTTTTTGGAATAGGTTTTACTTCAGAACAGAGTGTTTGTATTTCCAAAAATTCTTTCTATTATTATCTTATCGAGATCACAAAATGTGTGTTCAGACCTCTTTGAATTATGATTATGCATCTCTTTTAGAGTTAGATTATCTAAGGTATATTTCCTTTCTCGAAAATATTATATTCCGGAATATTTTCCAAACAATTGCATAACTTTTATGAAAAATTCAATATGATTTCATTATAATCTTACCACTAAAATGTATAAAAGAAATCGGATAAATGTAGAATGCATAACTTAATTCTTTAATAAGTCGTCTAAAACGTTTCTCGTTTATAACCATAGAATCTGATACACCAAACTTCTTTTGTCGCCATAGTGCAAAACAATCACTTACTTAATCTCTGCATAAAACAATTTGTAAGCGTTTTAAAATTAATTATGTCCAGTCAAAATCAAAAAGAAATTTAAAATAACTTCCATCATGATCACAGTGTGATCATTATAATCTTACAAATGACTGTTAAATAAAGCCAAATTAAACAAACCAATAGTATTGTTAAGAAATTTTTCTAAAAATCCAGTAGCAAATCGTAAAAAATTATAAAACAAACAAAAGAAAAATCAACAGCTAAACATCCTCGTTAACGTTTCTGGATATTCTACAGCGAGTCGGTCTTAAAGACGGCCTCTATC